AATGCATTTTCCATATTTGTTGAATAAAAATAGGAACAGTTCACTTAGCTGGACAAAAAGCTTTGATCTATACTGAAAGTTTCTATTGAACCAACTGAACTTTATTTACAATAGAAAAAGGTAGATAGCCTGCATAAAATAATATCAACTTTAAAATGGAAAGAAAAAAAAGGCTCCAAAATTTGAACATATTTTGAAATTTTGATTCCCTCTTCTTTACCGATTTCTATTTAGGTGAAAAATAGTTTGATTATCATAGTTTACCAACATTTTATTCTCTTCCTCCTTTGACCTCACAATTCTATGTTTATGAGAATAAAAGCACTTCAAGAAGGATGTCTGCTAGCTTCCTTTTAAATTTCCTGTGATTTGAAATAAATTTTTGTCTAGAAATAATCCAAAGAACAGTTTACAGATAGAAAGAAAGGAATTTTAAGTTTTATTGGCTATCTGAAGAAATCCAGAAGCCTCTATTTTTCAGAAAATGCCATTTTTCAGTATTTCCGAGGCAACACTAGTTTGGAATTCCAAGTGGTAGAAATTTTTTTTTTTTTTTTTTTTTTTTTTGACTTTTCTCTGGGGGAAATTTTGGAAAGAATTCGTTTTTTGATGAACCAGAAGCTCAATTTTTTGTTCAGTTCACAAAGCAGTGAGGGAAGGTAGTTTCACTTCATACAGGACAAAACTTAACCAGAATCCGCCACAGAGGGGATTTTCTGCATATCACTTCATGCAGGTTTAGTAAAATAAGCAGACGAGGTTTCCTGCAGTGACAGGGAATGGAGGCAGAGGTGAAATAATGAACATTTCAGGATCAGGTGGGTAGTAGATGATCACTGCTATCTAAAGACAGAGGTGTTCTTGACTATGACCAGGGAGCTACCATTTCTCTCCAATGACATAGAAAATCCAGGAAAGGATGATTATTAATGGCAGTATTGGCATCATATAGAAGCTGGACTTTCTAAATAAGCTCCTTTTGTTCACAGCCCAAATTCCAATGTGAATATGGTCCAGTTTTAAATATTACAGAAACAAGAAGCTTCACTAAGGCTTTTGAGGGGCTTATTGTCATGAGTCTCTCCCTGCTGAATGTCTGTTGCTAGGGGGCAAGTTTGCAAGAGGAGATTGTCTTCTGCAGCTAGCTTAAAAGCAGAGGTAATATGTCCCCAAGGCAAGGCGGTTTAGGAAGAAAGGCATCAGCTAATTAAACTTAATTGAGTTAGCCAGGGTAGTCTGATTAGCATAATTAATTTAAGCCTCTGAGTAGGCTTGAGGGGTGTGTGTTTTTTTGAGGGATCCTATGAGGGAAGTGTTTGGGACTCTAAAGTGGAAAAAGTAGTTAAATCTCTAGGTCAAGGGAGAGACACTGTAGATAAGTGGGAAAGACAATGTACAAAAATGCAGAGGATTTAGCCTGCCTAAAGGCTGTGTACACTTTTGAAACTGGCAAAGGTTATTGAAGAAACAAGAGGGGCTAGTTAGAGGATTTTAATCCACCTGGAAGCATGGGCAAGGAACCTATCCTGACTGTTAACACTTATGCTTGACAATACTGTGATATAAGTAAAAATGTGGTGTCTAGGGAATAGTGGATAGGATTAAAACCAGACTGTATAGCAAAGAGGTAGAATCCTCTAGTTAGGGGAAGCTAAAATGATTTCACCTTAACTGATTTGGGATCTTTACTGCAAAAAATGAATTAAGTACTGGTTTAAACTGTATTCAAGAGCTTTCTGTACTGTACTATTAGCCATTAAAAGAACCCCTAAGAAATAAAAAATTGCAAACATAAATGATTTTCCTCAAATGATAGAGTAAAACAAAAATTATGATCACTTAATAGCACTTCTTCTTTTACAAAGAAAGTGGATTTGAAAATACGTATATCCTATCTTTGAGCATTGCTTTAATGGAGCAGATGGTGTAGTTCTTTATTCCTATACTAAGTTATATATTATGTCAGTTTCATTTGCTTTAAATTGTGTGTTATCTGAACTGGCTTCACATTTCAAAGTTTAAGTTTTCTGATTTTTTTTTTTTTTTTTTTTTTTTTTTTTTTATGTTTGCTAAGCATTTAATTTTCAACTTCACTGTGGGTGATGCAGTGGTCAAATGAGCCTTTGTCCTGATATGTTTTAATCCAATGCATATCCTTTCTGCCAGGCAGAAAATCTCTTCGTTTTCAGCTGAGAAAATAAGGTACCTCAATCATTAAATTTTCCCTGGAGCTGGTTGGTATGAAGCATAGTTGGGAATCTCAGAGGGGAAAAGACTGTGCTGCTGCCCAGCCAGGACTTTGCTCAGATAGTTCTGTGAGCTCCATTTATTACTTGCTGATCTACAATTTAAATCACACAGTTTTAAATCCAAGATAAAGGTGAAATATGGGAATTTTACACTGAAAAACCTTATAGTAATTCTGTATACATATTTGTGGCTACAGACTACTCTTAAAAGACCAGTCTAGGACTTTTCATTTTTTATATGAAGGATTACTAATATATAATCAAGGGTATTTGGCATGTAATTTTGCAAGGATTCTCCTGAGACCTTGAGAATTTTGACCAAATATGATGAAATGTTGTCTAAAATAAGGAAATGTAGTGATTAAATGTTGGGACAGAAATATGTAATTTGTTTAAAAAAATTACGCAAATTGAAATATCACTTTTTGTAACTAATGTTTGAATTGCCTTTTACTTCATTTCTTTCAGAAATTTTTTAGCTGATTTTTCATTCCATCCAAACCATCACACATTCCTTGAAAATAATTTTTGTATCCTAAATAAAGGTATTGATATTTTAGTTGATGGTTTGGAGGAGAATCTCAGTATGTGTGAAGGCAATTATAAATTAAGATGGTTATATTCTAGGATCATGTTATATGATAGCCTTTGGGAAACTTGGTTTCATTCTTACTTGAAATCTTGGGAGAGCAATTTTACAAGAAAAGTTGTTTTTAGTGCTAGCTGGACCTTGATGACAGAATAAAGCATGAAAATTAGAATCAAAGCAAAGCTGATGTACCAGAACTGAGACAAATATATAAATCCCCAAGTTTTCCTTTTCCAATCTTTAAAAGGTTTATGTTTAGGTCAATTCTTGCCCAGTTCTGCTTGAGAGCCATTCAGATGAGATTTTATTAAAGGAAGAAAGGAGAAAAGTTGCTAAATTACTTTGAGAAAGGTTAGCCACTCAGCATGAATAAACTGGGGTTTGCTACACCACAGATGTATATGACATGTTGAAAAATGTTTTAATGAAGTAGCGAAGGTCTGCTAGAGAGTGAGTTAAAAAAGAAAAATATAGCAGTCTAGTACACTTTGAAAAGATGGAAGAATTCTTTTCTTCTTTCCTTTAAAGAAGAATTGAAACCATAGTGTTTAATGTCTTTGTTTTAAGCTCTGTGGAAACTCCGTATTGTTTAAAGTATGTACTCCAAATTTCAGGTTTGGCACCTGCATTATTTGAGGTATAATTGCATTTACTCTACATAATTAGAATATAAATTTATGTTGCTGAGGCAGGATAGCGTTGTGGGTTTTTTTTTTTCCTGGGAGGTAGTGTTATGCAGTCTGTTTTGTGTTCAGAAAATTTGCCATGACAGTGCTTCATAATAGAACCAATTATCAGGAATGCTGTTACACATAGCCTTCCAGACCCCAATTTAAACAGAAGCAAGTGACAATTCCTTCTGTGAAACTGTCACCATAAATCAGCCATATGTGAAGACCTACATGCTTATTGAGGATAAAACAAGAAATATGAGTTTTTAAAAAATAATTATGTGTTTTTTAAGGTGTTCTGATTAACTTTCAGACTAAGAGGAAGCAGCTCATATTAACAGCACCTACCAAAACTGCTTTCCATGTATCTTTAATAGGTCAGAACACTTTATTTTTTCATATTTCAGTTTTAAGTGGAAAAGATCCCACTTCCAATGCTTTAAAATAGATGTTTTTACTTTGCAGTACAACAGGGTACACTGCAACTGATCCTGCTGTCTTTGACATTCTTGTCCTGTATGTAATGCCATAACTGATCTTTTTAATGGGCATTCTCAGTTAAAATGCACAAAACTGAAGAAATAGCCACTACTTTTGTACTTTTGATACATAATTTATACATTGTTTTTTTCTCCCCTGGAGCTTCACTTTGTTAAAATGTTCCAAACATCCCAGTTCATCGTCAGACACACTTGTGAACTTTTAGATGTAATGCTTAGAACTGCCTATTATTTATATAATGTTTATTAAAAGCAATGACCTTTATTATTGAACTATCTGTTTCCTAACACAAAAATCCAAACACTGGTTTAGATGTCAAATTTTGTTTTTCCATACATTGATTGTAAGCATTTCCAAGGTATACAGTGACACACTGGAACACAGAAACTTCAGACAATATTCTCTTTCCATATACCTGCTTTTTAATTTTGGATGTCTTTCTTTAAACATGTGATTGCCCACATGGCACTTGAAGTTTTTCTTGAAGGGCAATCTAAGCAATAAGCAGTTAAGAATGGCAAAATTTTACAAAACCACCTAGGAAATAGCATAGCAACTTGGGCAACAAAAAGAAGATTGAATAATTTAAGACACTTTTACTACATAATATTTCAAAGTTTATCATATTAAAAATATATAAAATTTTAATAATTAAAAAAAGATATTTAAAGTAGAAACCTAAATGAATATTCTGCTATGTTAATATTTTGCCTTGACTGGTTTGCCTACTGGAAACATATGGGAATAGAGTGTTTGAAAGTATCTTGCCTGCAAACTTTCTAGATTTTCTTGGCCAAAACTGCAATTAACATAATAATTCCCTAAAGAGAACATGCAATTTTGAATAAACTAGAGTAACTAATAGAAATTCCAAAATTGTTTATTTTCTTTCACTGTTTTCTGTATGATCAGACATAGGTCAGAACTACATTGAAAGTTCTGTGAAAGAATGAGGACATCTCAGCCTTCATCTCTCTGCTTTCATTTCAGGGAATTCAGTGAAAGGAGTAAATCTTGGCTTTCTGACTTTTCAACCAGACATCCATACCCTGCTGCTGCAGAACTGGCAAGTATCACTCAGGATCACACAATGCTCACCTTAACATTCATTACCATGCTTGTAAGGTTTTCCTGAAATTTATTTGACAGCAAAGGAGCCATGAGATCAGCTGTGGTTGAATGTGTAAAAAGTAAGGAAAAGGGACTGTTTTAACACTGTATTTTCTATTATGAGGCAGTTTTGCAGCAAAGAAATTTGTTCTGCTTGTGAATTCTTTTTTTCCATGTATCCAATAAACTGAGATTATGAGACTGGATCTTAGGCAACAAGAAGAAAAGAAGAAGAAAAATAAATATAAAAATTTCATTTTGGGTCTCCCTTAAAGGCAGGGGGAGGAAAAGATATGTGTTTATTAGTTCTTTTACTCTAAATCTACCTTTTGTGTAGGTGGTGGGGGTGGTAAGTTCAGTTCAAATGTTTGCTGCAGATATTATGATGGTAGAAACAGAGTTAATTTGTTTCCTTGGCACTGGTAAATTAAAGCTTTATTTTTTATGTTCTTTAAATCTGAAATGTGTAATAAATATTGACTAGGTTTAGCTTTTCTAAATGTTAAGCATTGCAGTTGTTCAAAGCAGAGAAATATGCCAGAAAATTCTGCTGCATTCTGCCTCTGGGAGTATGCTGGTGTTTAGTTAATGTCTCAGTTTGTGCAAATCTATAGTTTTCCTTCTATATAAAACCAGTAATTTCACTTTTTTTTTCCTTTACCTACTTGAAAAGAGGGATTGCTGCTGTCTAACAGTGCTATGGTGAAAAAATATCTCAAGTATTTTTTAGATTTAAAAATAACCTTTGCAAGCTGTAAAAGGGATGGCTTGAGATATAATTATTGGATCTAATCTCTCAAGATTCTTGGAAACTCAGATTCACGCATTATTGATTTGATTGATTCTTTTCCTGAAGCTGACAATTCTACTTTCAATAAGCTCACTCTGCTTGTGGCTTTGTATTGTCATTCTGAGAAATACTGAGAATGAAGACATTATTGTCCATTTTGATTTCCTTGCTGAGGAGAGAATAAAAAGAGAATTAATAATATTTGGAAGATATTTCAGTTTTCTAGAAATAAATTTTCTTTTCCATGTGGCTGCATACTGCTTCCCACATAACTTTCACTCTGTTTTACTTTGGATGTGCTTTCATTTTAGAAATGCCATAGGTATATAATAATTTTTAAAATATTTGAAAATATTTGGATGGTAAAGTGCTTATACAATAAAGGAGTCATCAAAAGCTCATTAAAACAAGAGAGATATTTTTTAAAGTCTGCTATTTGGCCTTCTAGTCAGGTCCTGATTTTTTTACCTCTTTCTCCTTTAAAGAACAATACTCAATTCAGAAACTATTCTGGAGATAATAATATAATGATTTAAAAAAAAAATCAGAAATTTCAGAATCTAGAGGTTCTGTCTTTGAAATCATCACAGATTCAAATGAATCGTACCAGACTTTCTTACTGTCTATGAAATAAATGAATAAAAAATGTGTTTCACTTTCTTGCCAACCCCTCATGACAATGACCATATCAGTCTCTCTCCCATACATCTCACCATTTTGCACATATTATTTTTAAAATTAATCTTACTGACAAACCAAACATTGCATTTGAAATTAGAAAACCATCAGAACACCATTGTATAATATTGTATCACAGTTTGGGAATGGGGAAAGCATTCAGTATTAGTCAGGATCCTTCAAAGACTCTGATAGAGCAGAAGCTGATATGGTGACCCTTCATGGGTGAGTATTGGAAAGAAAGTGCTTTTCTCTTCCAGCACATGCTTTACTCAGGTCACAATGGGCATGTTGTGCACTGAATTTCTTCAATGCCTTGCCTTAGTGAGAGCATTTCTTTTCACAGGAGCTGCTGGACTTTATCCAGCTGTGTTACTAGTTCTCTTATCCACACCTGTTTCTGACACCTTTGTTGTCCTGCTTGGTCTCTGAATGGCCTCTTGACTACTCTTCATTTTTATTACAATTTGAACCATTGTTTCTCCTTTTATGCCTTTGAAATTCTGTGTTAGGGATAAAATCTGTTCTCAGTGTGGCAGAAAGCCATTGCCCTTACTGCCCTGATGAGCAATGGATAACACCTAGATATTTCACTTTTTAGCTATTAACCCAGGGTCGAAAGCACCTTAGCTGGATACTGAAAGGATATTTGGAGAAAATGGCTTCTGTGCTTGCCCTGTTCTTAAGATTCCCTGTGCCTCCACTCTGGCTACCATCAAACTCTATCACTGGGTCAGTTAGCCTTGGTACCCACCACTAAGCTGCTTCTGTGTGACATGAGCTACCTTTAAACTTTATCTTTGAACTGGACCAAGAATGAGGGAGGTACGTAACATGAAGCTACTTTCCCTTAGTACTCTCAGAATTCATTTAGTAGTGATTTCAGCCATACAGTCGTCTGTGGAGGAATTTTCTGCTTTCTCTCACCCTGTTGCTGGCACTCCTCCAAAGTGTTTGATTAGGGGTTATGTCTGCAGTCAGTGCCTAGCAGAATGAAATACTACTTTTCAGAGTGTTTCTCATGTCCTCCCTTTATCATTTTGTATTGTATACTATTCTTTCATCGGGGATACTTAAAACTGGCAAGTAGTTTGCCTGCAGGTTTGCAGGATTTTATCCTGCTATATTATTTCTCAACCTTAATTATAATTCTAAGCCGTCTGTATGTGAAGATAATCACATAACATTCATATGCACTATAAGGAGGATACAAACTGTTGATTAAACCTTTCTATTATATTTTTATTTGTGTTTTGGTTGTTAGGCAAGTGAGCATTTTATACATGGGTGCCTTTGTTCAAAGTTTTTTTTGTCTGGTGAGTAAAAGAAGCAGCTAGCATCTTGAAAACTCACTTTTCTTTTCCCCATAGTTTTTCTGCCTACACAAGAAAAGCTGATGGGGCATTGTGCTGAGGAGACCATTCCAACTTCTTTTGTATCAGCATGAACACCTCTGATCAAATCAAAACACAGACTTGTTTGAGCAGTCCCACATTGCATTTTCCAAGCAAGTTTCCTTCAAAAACTCATAAAAATATAAATTCATAAGAGAAAGAACATTACATGAGTGATGATGAACTGGAAAGAATTGCTTGGCCAGCAGTCCAAACATCAGAATGGGTATTTTTACAATATCTTATATAAAACTCGTCAATTTACATTGAGTGTGGCTACAAAACTGCAACTACACCAAAGACAAGAAAGTCAACACATTGCAGTATTGCATTTAAGAACTCACTGTCAGCTTCTCAGCTAGACTGCAGATTCTGTTGTATGGATTGCCCATTTGGAAATATTTGCTCTACTTAATAATTATATTTGAAGGCAAATTTGAGAATAAATCTCTAAAAGATGTTTGGCTATAGGTGTGATTTTTTTTCCTGTGCCAGCAAGTGTACTCTATTTCAAACTGATATAGCAAATTATGATCATTTATGTAACATCATTCTTAGAAAATGCCTATGTGATGTGAAGTAATTCAGAGCGCCAAATATCTAAATGCAGATATTTCTTAGAATATTATGGAGAAATGTGTGTTGCATTATACTGCCACAAAAGCATCATAATTTATGCTGTTCGTAGGAGTCACTTTCTTCAAATATAGGTAACCGTCTAATTTTAACCCTTCAAAAACCTATCAGAAACAATATAATTTAATTTTTGTTATAATGACACCTTTTGTTTTGTTCTAAAGACTAAATAGAAATAATAGAAAGAGTAGTCAATGAATGTAGAATAATAATATTATTATACACACAGAATTTCTGAGACCAATAACAGCGCATTATGACAGTGTTGGGGGGCAAAATTGATAACTAAATTTGGAAAAAAAGGGCCAAAGAGAAATTCAAGAATAATTTAAATATCTAAAATTTTATTTTGAAGGTATAAACTTAATAGATTTAACTTTCAAATAAAATGACCAGCCTGAAAATTCGTAGTAAATTACCATATAAAGAGTTTTCTGATGGTAAAGGTACAGTAAATATAAGCCAAAACCCTGAAAATATTGATGATCATTTAAATTAGGAGGGGGTGCCTTTTTGAAACATGTTTTGGCTAACTCTAACAGCTGGACTTAGCAGAAAGAGAACCAGCTGAAGAAAGTACATGAACTATGTCCATCAGAACTCTAACTGCTCTGAATGTGATGATCAGGAAGAAATAAAAGCACTCAAAAATTTTAATCTGTGGGTCTTTGAAGCATTCATGACACTGAGGTGAGAATCTGCCTGAGCAGCAATGAGAATCCTTTTGTAGGTCCAGTCCTTTGAGTGTGGGATCTACTAAAGGAGATGGGAAACCTGAAGAGGACTTGTAAAGAGCCTGTATGGATGGTGGGGTTTGAAGGTATGAACCCTTGCCAAGATAAAATATAGACACACTTAGAGCTCATTTAGATACTGGAATCATCTATTGGGCTTTGAATGTATTCCCTTAATGCTAAATCATGAACCAATTGAGAAATCATCTTTTAGTTAGAAGGTTAGACTTCAAATTAAGAGATGTCTTTTCATGTCCTGGAACCACTCTCTGGTGGCTTCCGGTAAGCACATTTTCTTATTTTTGTTTTTTGTGTGTTAAATGGAAGCAATGATTACTTCCTGAACTGCAAAGTTGTTGAAGTTTCAAGACACACAGTTCTGGGTGAGGAGGAAAGAAAACTTCTGAATGAATAAAAAGGTGTTCAGAAAGGGAATCAGAAGAGACATGATATGATTTCAGAAAAAAATGAAAAGAGATGCAGAGAAATTAATGTTATTATGTAGTAATAAAACCCCTTATATTTGCCCCTGAAATATTTTTATTGTGTGTCTTTCAGGAAATTCTAGGAAATTCTGGAGGGCTTAAAAAGTATCTATGTGTATTTAAATTAGGAAAAAAAAGGGGAAATTATTAATTTTCAGAGTAAGAAGGATTTACATTTTCTATTTTTAGATCCATATAGCTCATAAATCTAAATGGAAACATGATAGGAATCAGACTGGAAAACTAGGGTTGCACCATATTGATGCATGTTCATGCACATGTATGTTACCATGCAGAACTCCTTGAGAAGCAAATTTCCCTATTCATCACACCTTTTCTGTTAGTTTTTGTGTCCCATCTTTTATCACCAGAAGAGCCAAATCAAATGTATGCTTACAAAGAGGATGTACTGAGTGATTTACAGATGAGCATCTCATGAGCAGTAGGAAGCTGGGCTCGATTTTACAGTTTTCTAGATATCTTTAGATATCTTTTCTGAACTTCTGAGTATTTCCTTTTTCTGTAGAAGTTGAAGGGAACAGAGCATATTGTCAGCATGAGCTAATTGAGACGTAGATTTGTAAGATAGGGAAAAAGCAGCTCATGTTGTAAAGTCCTCAAGTGTTATAATGAAGATGGATATTTAAAAACATTGATTAATGAGAAACTAATAATTGCTTGAAGGAAATGCATCAAATATTTAGCACCATCAAGGGCTGAGTACAGATCATAGTCAATATTTTTAGTGTAAACAAAACAATCAGATTTTAAAAGTAAATAACAGCATTCTCTGTAAAAAAGAAAAGCTGTAAAAATAACTGAATAAATGCAACATGAGAAATAGACAATTAATATTTCACAGCATACTTTGTGACATTTCAGACCCATATTCCCTTAGAAGGATCAAAAATATTCCTGTAAGATACTACAGCATTGCAGTTACAAAATATGGCATCTTATATATTTTGATTTTATTCCTGATAGAGCTTCATAAGAATATAGGAAGAGAAATGACTGAAATGCTTTTCTTTAAATAACTCTGATATTTCCTAGAACTCAATATAAAATAATACTTTTTTTCAGCTGGAATTTCAGATAATTAAAGGTGTGCTTCTGTTAATGTAAAAAGAATTTTGCCATGTAAAATTACAGAATACCTAAATGTGGAAATACCAAATTTTAGGGAGCAATAAAATATTTATTTTTGTGGAAATAAAGGATAAATTACAAAAGCCATTTCTTCTGGTCTTAACAAAGCTTTCCTTTTTCAGCTTTTTGAGATTTTATTTGTTTGTTTTTGATAGGAGTTTAGTAAAGTGTAGAACCGATAGGAGTTTAGTAAAGTGTAGAACCAGGAGCTGCACTTCCATTTAAATGTAAAAAGATCTAACTTCTGATTTTATAGCAAAACTTTTGCTTTTCTTGGACATTCTACAAATAGAGGAGGAAACCTAGTCCATTCAATATGACATGAGATTGTGGTAGGCATATCAATGAAATCTATTGAAAAAAATACATCTTTATACACATAGCCTTGCAGCCTCTATTAAGGAACTGGAGAAGACATATTGTAGATGTCCAGATCATGGATATATTCCATCAGCAAATCCTAAACTTTATTTCAAAAGTACATATGTGGGCTTATAAAATGTACTCAAATATACAACATAAACATTAAGCTTAAAAATAATACAGCATTACAAATACATTGCCAAATCCAATGCAGAATTTAAATCTGATATTCAACATGATTAATGATTATGAAGATTTAAAAAGAAAAATAATAATGGAAATATTTATTTAAAAGTTACTTAAAGATAACTTTGTCAGTCTCAAGACGGTATCTGTAACTTAATACACACATCAGCATTCTGCAAAAGCTGAGAAGAAGAGAAATAAAAATAAATCAAAATTATGTTCACTGTGAAAAGTAGTGAAAAGTAGCAAGCAGATTGTGAGCTAACACTAGAGACCTATATAAAAAGGCTTAAATGTTCTGAATTTATCTCCAGCTATCATAAATTAGACTATGCCAGAGCTGTACCAAGAGGAAGAGAAATACGTTTTCTACACCCTGCCTTTCATTCTGAAGATTCTGCAATCTGGGTACCAGATAAGCAATGTAAGTATATTACACCTGAATGCTCAGTCCTCTTGTTGTGTTCACTCTTTTTTTTTTTTTTTTTTTTTTTTTTTTTTAAATATCTGAATTATAAATAGAGTGATTTGCTGCTGTTGATGAAAGAAAGGTGTAGTAAAGTTTTGAAGTGAGTGAGAAGTTTACATGAACAGCAGGAGAAAAGCTGCCGAGATGACAATTAGCTCTCCCATACACATTTGGATTAGGCATACTACTGCTTTGCCCACTGGTATATGGTATTAAAACAAGAAGCTTAGAAGAAAGTGTCAGGAATAAATTCAAACAAACTGACATATCTGTATTATCCATATTGTCTGATAAGGAGTGGAAAAAGAAGATATGGCCATAAATCACCTCTGAGTCAGAAAAAAAATATATAATTTAATGTGTGTGGGAACTAAATATAGCGTGCACTGACACCGTGACATACCACAATGCATGAAATGAACAAATGTAGACTCCAGTCATGTGAATAAAAAACTAATCATACGGAGAGAAAAGAAAAGAAATAAGATCTATAACTAATTGCAAAATGAGGAATGATCTTTCTAGTTTACTTAGCTGAATGCACAGGAAGGCATAACTGCTTATCGACAGGTGTGGAGCAATATATTTCTCATGGTGCTTTAGTTCATTACAGAGGCTTTTTGACTACTTAATCTATATATATTTTTCTGCATCTCTTGAAGACTCTGTACTAGCCATAATGGCATTTTGCATAAATTTAGAAGACATGAGCTTTCCCAGGCTATAATGAGTGTTATTGGACAAAGCAAGATGGCCCAATAAAGGGCCTGTATGATGAGATCCTCCTAAAGAGATAATTATTACAGAGTTTTAAAGCTATATTAATACTGTGATTAAATTTGTGAATGGGGATACTTTTCTAACAAATTTTAATTAAAAAAATTGTATAATAGTATCTCTTTAAACTCTTGAAAGTTTCCAAAAGGTGTAAGCAAAGCTCCATATGAAACAAAAAGTTATTTGTCACAGAATTCGAAATAGGTAGGATCACTTGCTGGGTAATGTATAAAAACAGTAATGTTTTCCTTCTTGGCTGACAAGTAGTTGACTGATGATGAACTCGTAACCCTTGTATACATGGATGGTACAGAAGAGAACACTACCTCATTCTTATTATACTATTTCCCCCTTCTTTAAGAAAAATTGCTGTTTAAAACACTAGAGAGAAAAATACTGAGAAAATAAGATGGAGTTTGGCAAACAAGCCTGGTATTCAAGATCAGTCTATCTTCTTAAAAATATTTTGTAATTCTTGATGGTTAAGAACTGCATTCTCATACCAAGCTCATACATAGCACCCCTGCTAACATGCAAAATTCGTCCACATTTAATGTATTTGAACTGAAAGACAGTAGCTATTCTTTTGTGGTGACTGTTCCTTGTACTAGCTATGCAACTTGAATTTGCTGGGATAGGGAACAGAAGAAAAAAACACTCACACCTTGAGCCATGATCTCAGCTGGAAAGCAGGCACCAACAGCTGTGAAACTAGCGCGAGATGTGCCCCTTGTCAGAGCAATGCCTGACTGAAGGAAAGCTTCTTGACTTTATGTCGGTGCAATATTGAAGCCTAAGCTTCCAGCTGTTTGCTCTGAATGGAGCTGTGCAGAATTTTATCTAAGTAGGCTTTCTTGCTTAGCTTTAAAATTATCTCCTTCTGTAATAAAGATTCCTGAAAATGTAAGTATTTTCTTCCAGCAAAAGCTATGAAAGAGCTAAATGAAACTATTCATCGTTACACTAGGATCAAGCCGAGGAAAAACTCTCCACTTTAGCACCAGTCTCAGCTTTAAGGTGCCACCCAACAACTGTAAAGAGCATGACAGCTGTCTAAGGCTGTCAGGAGAGATGGATACCTGACTTCTTTAACTGCTCCACTACAGTGAAAACCATATTAATTTAATGTTTTTATGGCACATCTCGTTGGTTTGAATTGTCAGGAAGGCAAAGTGGGCAATTAGACCATGAGAGAATAATTAGTTATAAACTTAACTGCATGGTGATATTATACAAACACCTGTAAGTTGTTGGTGTTTTCTGTAACCCAAAAGAGGTTTTAGTTTACTCAGGTCAGAAAGAATTATTTTTTAATTTTGTTTTTATCAATAGAACATTCAGGCAAAAGTAAAATTTGAATTTTTAATAGTTGCTTTAATTCACTTTAACAGAAACATTCAACATTTTAAAATTGATATGTTTATCCAAAACAGCTCTGAGAAATTTTTAATTGTAACTTGCAAGGTAGAAAATGGTGATTGCTTTTCTGAAGTTGCTATTTTTCCTTTGGAATAGACACAACTAACTTTTGTATAATGTAACTGGTTGTGGGCCTGCTCACATGCACATATATTCCCTGACTTTCTAATTTATGAAATAAGGGGGAATGAGAAAAAAATTTTGCTCTGAAACATAGAACACAGAAGTCCAAAACCAAATAAGTAATCCAAAGATATTCTGAAAAACATTTTCTACATTTTTCATTTCTGAACTTAGATATTGAGCTCAGTCATACCCAAAGTATTTTTAGGATAATTCCACTGACACAGGTGTTCTTCTGTTTTTGTACTTATGAGAATTAGTCAAATTTTGTGTCTAGACTTTTTCTCTGAAGTTATTGTTTCTAGAACAAAAATTGTGTGACATTTGCCACTGGTCAGAAACTATGGTGAAGTGGCTACTGGTCATATTTGTTTGTGTTTGTTTCCGTATTTTCTTGCATTCAGCTTTTTTTTTTTTCCTTGTTACTTGTGAAAATTTAATTGAATATATTACACAGTATTGGACGATTTATTAATCCCATGTTGCAGGAAATGAGCAATCTCCAATGTCACCGTCTAGCATATTCATGTAGGTCAATCAGAAATTATACAAACAGCTACTGTCAGGAAGTAAATTTTGTATATACTAACAAATGCAATGCAGTCTGAATACTGATATCCTGGAACAAAATGAAGTGTGTTCTCCTCTGTAGTTTCATTCTTTTGTGTTAATACCATTATCAGCTTGTTTTATGAAGGAATAGAAGTTGAAAAAACAGAGAATACATTAGCTTACTTTACTGTCTGGACATATGGTAAGCCATGGGATCATTAACAATAACACATTAGCCCCGATAATGTTTTGTGAAAGCTCATGGGGATTTAATCTGTTGTTGCATATTAAAGGTATGCATAGTGTTTCCTGTCACCTTACAGATCATACTGAGTCTACAAAAATAGCACCCAAGTTTTATTCACCTGGAAATTTACATGGAACAGCTGCACACAACAAGCAGATCATTTCTGCCAAATGTTCTTGATTTATCCATTAGAAATATTCTCATATCCCTCCCATAAGGCAACAGGCATTCATTCACTCTGAAACTAGAGTATCTAACTGTGTTCTGATCTAGCTGTAGGGTGTTTCCATAAAGAGGTTTATTTGTATGGATAGATATCCAGGAGGAATATTAGGTTATCATATTGTTGTTATTCCAAAAAAATACCATGACTGACTAAGTGGTTGAAAAATATATGCTACTGTAACCATTACATCAAAAAACAACCTTGTTTGTTGGACTTAACTGGTATTGCCAATGAGTTATCTCAGCTCCCTGGCACAGTTTGGGCATGGTAGCACAGGTTAGGTAAGTCCTGTAAAGGTACGACAGGTTGTTAATGAAAGGTTCAAATATTTTTCTGCTACTTTGGGTTCTGCTGTGCAAACACATTCTAGGTATAATGGCTCAAAATCCCTAAAAATGGGTTGTTAAATCTAAGGAAAATGTATGGGAAGTACTTAAACAATCATGGAATTTATATAAAAAATGATTGTGGAAATGAAAGGAAGATTAAGCACTGGGGAAAGATTAAAAAGGGACAGAGAGTGACTGCTCCTGCTATAGTATATTCTTTCCTGGAGCTGGGCCCTAAATCTCTTCCTATATCTCAGTTATTTGTCAAGTTATGTTTTTCAACAGCTAGGTAATATAGAGACATACAAGGTTTCACATACTTTGTCTTTCTGACAGATAGCAAGAGACATTCTCTATTTTGGCTATTCATTCCTCCCTACATCCCTCTCCCTCCCCATCCTGTTTTTTTTTTTCTTAAACCAAGATAATGGCTTTTACTTGGTATACAATCATATACAATGTTTTTTTTAACATATACACACAAACATACACACATGTTCTTACATAAAAGTTATGTAAAAACATATATAAATATAATTATAATATATAAATACTGTATATATTTATATGGATTCACTGTGATAATAAGTAGCAATTCTTGGACGATTGAACTGGTGGCAGATTGTAACTGATGAGTGGGATGACGGTATTGCATCACAGGCTTCTTAAATCAGCTTCACCACCAAGAAAAGGTGAATGGAACTGCAGTCTGGTTCTGAGTATCTCATCATGAACTGATCCACAGAGCTAGCTTAGCACCACAGGTCCAGCAGATGAGGTCAGATGAAAGAATATAAGATGGAAAGAAGTTATTATTTATAAATGATAAAATTCTTCAACATCTGTCAATTTAACACACAATAAAATACAATTCACTCAAGGCATTTATTTAAAGTGCAGTTTTTTGTCTGAATTTCACTAAATCTATTATTTTCTTTAGTACCTTTAATTTCTTCCATAGGGACTTAACTGGCCTGCATGGTCATAAGGTATGAACTAGAGAGTGAAATGTGAGGTACAAATTCTTCTGGTTAATGAAGCATTTCAGATTGTTTCCATGAAATCTTCTCTTCATAAATTATTTACCTAAAACTAAGGCTAGATACCTGGTATCTTCCATGATAGCTGGTATTCCCTTTGAAAAAGTATTTTTAAAAATCCTTTAGTATAAGTTAAAAGTTACTATGCTGAATTGAAGCTAATTGGATTTAAATAATATAATGAAAAAAATTTATTTGAAGTTGAATGTGCAATTTAAATGTATTTTTCTTTCCATTTAGAA